ACCAGACACAAGACCATCACAAGATCAGACACAAAACCAGACACAAGACCTGACACAAGACCACGCGCAAGACCAGACACAAGACCACACACAAAACTTGACACAAGACCAGACAAAAGACCAGACACAAGACCAGACACAAGACCATCACAAGATCAGACACAAAACCAGACACAAGATCAGACACAAGACCAGACACAAGACAAGACACAAGACCACACAAAAGACAAGTCACAAGTAACAGGGTAAACAATGACAAGGGAATGCTTTTGTTGGAGTTCATTTGAACAGCTTGTGACTTGAATCGAGACTGGAGGTCTTGTGTTGGTCTTGTGAAGGTCTTAAGTGGTCTCAACTACAACACTGGACTGTCCAGGCCCTTTCATTAAGCACTACTTCAAAGACAGAAATGTACTCATGCTGAGCTTTATCGTCTGGGACAAGATTAATGAAATTGCGCAGTGTCGTCTTTGATTATTTCAAGCATGGCTGGGGAGGACAGGGCAGACCTGTGTGACCTGAATGATTCTTTTAAATCAAAGTCACTTAAAATCTGCTGCATGAAGTGCAAGACGGTCGATCGGCTTGATTCAAATTTTAAGAACATTACAAAGTACACGTTTTCACACCAAACGTATCTCCATAGAAATGCAATCGACGCTTTACAGTAAAGAGAAAACTTCCGTTGACTGGAGTGAGTTTGTCGGAAAAGGAAAATTTGAAAAAAAGTCACACAGAGCATGAACGTTTTCTGTGCACTGGTCCTGCTACTATGACCGTCGGTCCCTTGGTCATTCCTATTAACATAATGACTATTTACATCTGTAAGACAGTTCAGAGGTCACGGCACAGCCTTAGCCATGGCAGTGTCTTTACTCAAGTGGCTAGGGCCAGGATTAACACATACATCTATGGGAAATGGCCGCAGTCACTACCACTCCTTTCTTAAAAATCAAGTCTCGCTTTATTTCTGCACGGGCTCGCATTACAGTTAACCTTGACCTTTGACCTAAGGGCACAAACTTTAACCTCTGTTGGAAGTTAGCCTCGGTCGCCCAATGCTGATGGCAATACCAACAGGTACGAACTGATTGAAGTACTCACAAAATTGCTGGTGACCCCTCACCTCATTGAATATGCACGACCTTAGAACCTTTGATGCAGCGAGTCATTTCTCAGTGGTTCTCGGCGAGTTGCTTCAGCAGAGCTCGCCGCTGTTGCTCAAGCTCCCCTTCGCTCAGGTCGCTCTCCGATGTGTCCCAGCCAGTCTGTGGGGGGGGGGTGGGACATCAAGCGTGCACAGTTATATAAATATTCATCTGAATATGACATGTACAGTAAACTCCGGTTAATTCGGCACACTCGGGACTCAAAAAATTATGATGACTTACGCGAATGTCGGCTTGTGCTGAAAGTCGTCATTTGCAAACTTACACGTACACATGTATTGCCTATGTACATTATCATTCCTTGCACTAATTCAATGGCTTTGATTTACCCTGGTTTATTTCAACCTCCATGGTCGATCGCAGCAAATTCGTTCTCGATTATTCTCCTCAAAGGCTGCAAATTCGATAATTGACCATGTGCCCCTAAGGATGAAGCAAGGACGGCAAGCCACTTGCATATTACATCACAACTCAACAGTACAGTACGTATGTACATGATACAGTTACGGTACAGAAAACATACATTCATCCACACACGCGTATTGGTTATAGTTCGTTCCATACAGTCTGGATACCAGACCCGATAATTCTGAATACCCGACGAATCATTATCAAGGGTTGTCCGGGAATCTTTTGGCAGGGAACTAGGCTATGTGCAATAAGGCGACCCCCACAATGGACAGAGCGCATGCATGTAACACTAGAGGGGTTACTGGTATTGATGTACTCATGCTGGCCGATTATCAACCACGGCCAGTGCTGCTAATAAACAGACATCTGTCAAGCAGTGTGGGACTTGTCACTTGACACTTCTTGGCAACCGCAGCGAAGGAAACTGATACCGAAGTGCGATTTTTTTAATGCCAACTTACACAAAGGAATTTTGTGGTTTTGTGGAAAAGGGGCCGAGAAAAACATGTCGACTTATACGAAATGACGACTTATAAATGCCGACTTAGAAATGAAATTTTCAATGGAAATGCATGACAGACGATAAGGACTTTTGTCAAAAGGCCGACTTAGACGATATGACGAATTACGCGACGCCAACTTAGTCGGAGTTTACTGTATATCAAAGATAAATACATGAATATTCATGTGAAACTCATCAATCAGAAGCAGCAATGCACGTAAAATGTCTAAAACTTAAAACCTTTGGGTAGGAAAAAATCTAACGTTGAAAAACTAACCAGAAACCATGTCATTTGCTGGTCAAAAGATCATTAACCACTTCCTGCCGGGTGGAATTTCGAGCAAGCACCCCCAGTATCAGGAACCCCAGAGGCAAGTGGTTTAGATTTTGTTTCAACTTAAAGGTTTCGTTCCAAGTTTAGGGGGAAAATCTGGTTACTTCATGCATCCCTAACGAGATGGACAACCTTCAGATGAGGTTTCTCAATTTGTAACAGCCTCTGGAGACAGTAATCTTGCCCCCCAAAATCCCTAATTGGACGCTATGGACAAAAGTAACAGGTCAACCAAGCAGGGAAGCTCGATGTAACACACTCAAAGGGGAACCGTGATCACCTTACCAAGAAGTTTACGAGTAAAGATCAGTAGAAAATATAATTGGAATTATGTGGATGCCCTTAGCAGTTCATTGGGGCATCACAGAGTTTGGCCGGGGACAATTCTTGGGGAAACCTGTCGGAAAATAACTTCTTTTATACCTTTTCTTTTTTCGGCGTCTCAACTGGTGCAGGGGGCGGAGCCTGCTTGCGAGGCTGGGGGGCGGCGGGCTGTGAAGGCTGATGGGCGACTTCTTTGACGTCCGATTCTGATCCTGTTGAAGGCTTTGGAATTCAAGAAGTATGGAATATTCTCCATCAAAGTCACACGGCATCACTGCTCGCGTTATCTTACAACTTCGGTTTCACACTTACGAGCTGAAATTAAATCACCGACTGACTGGCACCGATTTGGTGCTTATGGATGAACTGAATGATTGACTGACTGTATTTTCTTCAACTTGGCAAATTCTCTTCTTTCATCGCGTCATGAGTACTTTGTGATCAAAAGCCATGAAACTGATAATGCTATGCATAAACTTGTCAACTGAAGATAACGTGGTCTTTAAACACAGACACAACAGGTGCGTAAAAAAGGAAGGAAGACAAGACACCTATGTGTGAACTTGTTTACGAAAAGTCACTTCATTACATTTCTGTAAATGATGTTTATTGTTTGATTTTTCAAATTTTGCGTCATTCTTTGATGTTTGCGTAAACTTCACTTTTGTATACAACCGAGCCGCGTTGAGAATGTGGACTGAGCCCTTTTGAGTCCGCCGGGCGATGACTCACCGAGCGTCTGCGCTTGCTTTTCTTGACCTTCTTCTTGTGCTTCTTGGAGGTGGAGCGCTTGCTGCTGATGTCCGACTCCTCCGAGGACTCCGATGGGGACGCTGAGCGTGACCGTTTCTTCTTCTTGGAGCGCCGCCTGCTGCGGTCGTCGTCCGACTCGGACATCTACGCGAGAACCAAAGCTGACCTTTAAACCCCTTTAACTTTGTGAAGATTTGTCCCAAAAGTCACATCTCCTGATTGACTTTACTTCAATAGCTCAAGGCTTATGGACTTCTTAAGACCATAACCTGTACTGACATTTTCGGCCTGGAATCTAATCGAATCTTCTGAAGCCGTCGGTGAGCAGGGGCTTCACAATCAACCCCTGGAGTGTCTGGAAATAGCTCCTGTGATTGGTGGATTCGGCGTGATTAGAGGCAGACATTCAATGAGAGTCAAGCCACTTATTAAAATGCGACAGTTATTGGAATCTACCAACTGTACATTTGTTGGTGCTATACTACTAATCTGAATTTTGACCGACCGCTTTCAAGAAAAAGGGTGATGTCGTCGTCCAGTACCCTCATGCGGCAACCCAAGACATTGCCAAGGGAGCTCTTGGAAAGGAAAGGGACCTAGTTCCCAATTCAAATGGTCAAAGTTCTCGGTAAAGCGTTCCTATTTTTTTTTTTTTACTTTCTGGGCAGCATTCGGCGGGGACAAAGGCATGATTTGTTTGGGAGGGTCGGACAAAAACGAGCTCGGGGATGGCAGGTGCTTACCGAGCGTGATCTGGAACGGCGGCTTCTGTGCTTCTTCTTCTGCTTGGAATGTTTCCGGGAGCTGGCCTTGGAATGGTGGTGGGCGCAAGCTTCCTAGGAGGGAAAAAAAAGATACGAAGATCGGAACTTTAGCAAAAAAGACACGAGGAAATCCAATTTCCTAGAGATGCAGAAAACATAGAGTCACTTTTATCCAAACAAAAGGATTGCATTATTTCATCTAAAAACTCCCTCGTTTAATGAACAAGTGGTGCCAAAGTGACCACTGTGATAATGTAGAATCAGTTCAGGATTAGGATATGGTATAATGATCTTTAGTAAAAATCTTTAACATAAATGAAGACTGACAAACACCTCACAGAAGACGATGTGCGAGTGTACAGCAGGATAGAGAGTTTGAGCCAAAAGTCATCACCGGAAGTGTCCTTCGGCATGCATTCCAGACTGGTTGTAACAAGCCCACTCACTATACCTGTTCAGATTTTTTATCACCGGATAGTTCTCTATGTTTTGGAAATCCAAAAACAGCTGATCTTTTCAAACAACGCTAAAAGTAAGAGAGGTAAGTTAAGAGACTACCTCAAGTGCTTGGATGTACTCCTTGAACAATCGGATCCTCTCTGACTCGACGGTGATGCCATCGAAAGCCGACTCGTTGACAAACCGGTCCCTAACCTATACAGCAAAAGACAAAAAGAAATGTACAGAGGCTTTGCATGGTAGCCATCTTGCAGGGCAGACTGACCGGGGGTTAGAGCAGGGGACGCGGGGAGGCATGCTTACTGTGGAACACGCCCCAACCATTTGGGCTAGGCTTTGCAGCTTCTGACAAAAGATTGGGATGCGGTCTGAGCCCTTGCCCAAATCAACAGGCTGCGGCTAGACACGTCAGGCACCCCTATAGGCAGACACTGACTAGCAGCTCTAGTCACTTCCCATAGACTTATTCCTAGCAGTAACCAATTTGATTAGGACCAGCTTGAGAGTTAAAGCCATAGAAAGCCCTTTGCTCCGAAAAGCTGACGAGGAAATTTTTTGCGGGGCCTTACGTCGTCCCAGTTGGAGCCGACATCCAGCGGCGGGGCCGACTGCTTGAGCATGGACTTGAATGCTCCTTCTTTCCTCCGCTGCTTCCGGGCCTCCTCCTTCTGTCGTTCCTTCTCTCTCGCCTCCGCCTTCTCTATCAGCTACGGGAGAGGAGCGAAACAGAGCAAAGGTTCAAAGATGGCGAACCCCCAAAACGTGGCAGTGGGTTGACCCCGTTCAAACACACAAAGGCAGGAGGCAAGAATGCATTCTAAACTGGACTTTTGGAAAAGCTCAGCTCTTCCCCACAATATTCCACACTCCAAAAAATATTGCCTGAAAGCTTGCATCATGTTTATCTCCTCTGAAGAGAAAATGGATGACTTACGCTGTTGAACGTTAGCTTGATGTTTCCGGCGTCCAGCGTCGATGCCCGCTTGTCAGTACTGATGGTGGTTGCAAAATCTTCAAACGTTGTGTTGATCTCAATCGTCATATTTTTATCCTACGACAAAAATCAGCAAGTATGACGACAAAGTCACAAAGTGGAACCGTCATAATTTGAACAGAAACCCTTTCATGAATGTAACCAAACTACTTAAAGAATTGTTTACAGAGTGTTAGGATTCTGGCAGACCTTAAGAATGTCTTTGATGATTTTCTTCTCATCGTGGAAGCGCGATTTCAGGTCTTCAACATAGAATTTGAAGAGATCCAGAGGTGTGGAACCTGTAAGAAAATAGCAGGATGAGAACTATAACCCTGAACTGATGAGGTCCTAGCATCTGCGAAAGAAGTTCCAAAGCACGTAGCTTCGGCAAAGGGGAAGCTAAAGTCGGGGTTTTCTGCAAAGAATTCTTCCTCTCTCTGTCTGAACCTACCGGGGTTTCCCAGCATGCTGTTGAAGCGAGGATCCGAGCTGATGACAGGGAAGAGGTCCATCCAGAGCGACATGGAGTGCAGCTGGCCCCGCTCGTGGAGCTCGTCCAGGAGAACCTGAGAGGTGGCAGATGGAAGAGGAGAAGCCAAGATGCAAGACGTCAAGACTATTTCAAAACTTGATCCCTTTAAGAAGGCATCTTCACTCACTTCATCCTCCTACAACTTTGCTCCAGCCCCGCCCCCCCATCCTTAACACTATAAAACCAGGAATACCCTCTGAGATGGCTGGCGTCCTTAAGCTGGACTCACGAGCCCATTCTTTGCCTCCCACCCAACAACTTTGTGTTCCTTTCATCTGACATGATCCTCCTACCAACAACTTAGCTCCGCCCATCCCCCGAATCCCCATTATCAGGAATCCGCATCGTCCCTCCATCTCACATTATCCTCCTACCAACCACCTAGCCCCGCCTATCCCCTGAATCCCCATCACCACGGATCCGCATCTTCCCTCCATCTCACATTATCCTCCTACCAACCACCTAGCCCCGCCTATCCCCTGAATCCCCATCACCACGGATCCGCATCTTCCCTCCATCTCACATTATCCTCCTACCAACCACCTAGCCCCACCCCCAACTCACCAAGAATCCCTCCCGACATTTGCGGTATCCTCTCTTGACCAGCATCTTCTCCCTGTCTCGCTCTTCGTCTTCCTCCTTCTCCAGCTGTCTGATGTGCTCCTCGAAGCAGACCAGAGCGTCTTCCTTATCCATGACTGTGACGAGAGGGCAACAAAGTTATATGAATTTCCACTGTCACAGGCCCAAAATCACGGTTGTGTTCAATTATGATGCAAAACCTGCATGATTAGAGATTGATAACCGGTAACTAGGTAAACCTGTCAATCAACCATTCAGTCAGTTGGGCAGCCAGCCACAAGCATGCAAGTCAGCCAGTCAGGCAAAGTCCATTTCAGACTCAGCCGCTGCTGTGTCACTGTAAACAGCCAAAGGTCTCAACAGCTATGACCTGTTCAGACTTCCCTTGATGGGCTGGAGCTAGCCACAGCCTCAAACTAGCCACTTCAGATTTCCCTGTCAACGCAACATGGTAATTAGCCACAGCTCTCAAAAGCTTTGCCCATGACAATCTTTACCATTAGTGGGCCACAGTAAATAGCCACAACTCTTGACAGCTATGTTTGGTTTGGACTTTGCATTAGCCCAGCTGACTGTCCATTTCGGACACAGGACACTCACTCATCAGCTCCTCGTCCTCGGCGAACGTCGGGTTCTCCATCAGGTGCTGCTGGCACTCGGTCCAGGTGGTGCGGAAGGTGACGTTGGGCATGCTGTCCAGGATGGCGTTCATGGCCTCGATGTTCCGCTTCCTCAGCGCCTTGGATTCCTCCTTCTCCTTCTTGCTCAGGTAGAAGACCACGTCTTCGTACAGGTCGCGCCGGTCGCGGTCAGGCACTGCCTTCCAGAGCTCTTCCTCCTCAAAGAGCATCTCCGCTTTTCTACATTTTACAAAACAGATCCAACTATTAGACAACTCAAAACATCAAGTAAAATGTGTCATTTGCACGAGTATGCAGTGATTAACGATTAAATTTTTTCAACAACAGTACCACTGACCGATGGGCTTTACCTTCCAAAATCCTGCAAAACCTCCGGCAGGTTTTGAAGGATCCAAGAAAGGGACAGTCAACTGCGAAAAAAGGACCTTGTCCTGGGTCCCGAATTGACCTACCGGTATCGGACGTTGGAGTTCATCTTGGGGTGGGTCTCCAGGAACTGCTGGAGATCCTCTTTGGCCTTCTTGGCTTTCAGTCTCTGCTCCTCCTACAGGGAGACAAAAACATTTTACAAGATGTCTAAAGTCTCACTTATCTGTCAAGAATTACAGCTGGTCTTGGGTTCTGGGGAACTGAGGGTTTGCATGGCTGCCATCTTGCAGGCAAGTGCTTTTGTTCCACAGGGTAAGCACAAAGAAGGTCTCCCTGTGGAACAAAACAACTGCCCTGCAAGATGGCCACCACGCAAAGCCTCGATGCACCTGGGACATCTTCAGTTCTCAATATTTGAGCAATAATTCTCAGTAAGATCAGGCGGTCTGTGAATAACCTTACAGATGCAGCAACTAATTTCTCTCTTGGTTTCCTTTTGTAACAGCGAGCATTCCCCAATCAGAGAGGCAGTTTTCCTCGGGAAATGTCTTCAAGCAAAGCAACGCTTAAGCTCTCCCCCAAGACACAAAAACACAGAACCAAATCGTCTGAGACAGTATCGATGTTCGAGTTGATCCTGGCCACATTTTGATGGTTCTAATGAATCTAATTTTCAAATTGGAAATCGGCAAATTTCGTTTGATATCGAAGAAGTCTACTGTTTTACCTTTTCCTCCTTGCTTCGTTGCACTTTGTACTGGTTGAAAACTTGTTTCTTCTCACTCAATTTTGCCAGAGCCCTGGGAAGATAATAAAGAAACCATCAAAGTTCGTGACCAACACAAGGAGTAAATGTTCAGCAGACTGTAGGCCTATCAACGTTTCATACTATCTGTCCGTATGTTCCTTCTGTTTAATAAATCCCTCTTGGTTTCGGGAAGAACAGTAAACACAAACATCCGAAAGCTCTACCTTCGAAAGCAAACCTTCTGGTCAGAAGCAGGCCTTTGGACCAAATGCGACCCACGTGCTGGAGCTACATTTCAGTTGACTCACAATAAGCCTTTTGCGAGTGACCTCTGAATAAAATCTGGTACTCTGAGTTCTTTAAATTCATGAGAACGTAACAATTTGAATTCTCCATACTAAAAACACTGGTGCTATACCTCGTGATTTGGGGCAAGCTTTTGCTTAGTCACATAAGAGACGCCTTGCAACAATACACTGTTCTCAATGGAAAAGAAGGGTACAAAGGAACCAGTCCATTCCAGAGATAGCAGTCGCTATGCAAAAGCTTGCCACGAATCACAAAGTAGAGCAACAGCGTCTTTAGTCTGGGGAATTAAAATTGTTACGTTTGTGTGCAATAACTCAGTGTACCAGATTTTATTCAAATTTAACTCACAAATGGCTTATTCAAGCAGTGTTGGTGACTGGCATTGGCATTTGTTGAATGCAAACTTGAGAACTCCCTCTCGCTCAAAAAAAAAAACCCCTACAACTTACTTATATCTGGGGTCGTTGACAATCATCTTCATCGCTGTGTCCCAGTTGGCATTGCAGGGAACACCCTACAAACAATGAAATCAGGAAAAATACAAATCTGTGATAATCGATATCGTGTGGTTTGGAATTATGTGTTTATTTGCAAAATACCTGATACTACTACTACCAATAATATAGATTTATATATAAAGTGAATATCCACTAATTTCCAGTCGGGTATTTGGTCTCCAGATATTTGTCGCAGCCCTAACGATTTACCTTGTCTTTGAAAAAAGGAAAAAAAATGGATATCCACTAATTTCTGGTCGGGTATCCGGTCTCCAGATATTCATCGCAGCCCTAACGGTGTGGTGTACCTTGTCTTTCAGCAGTGCCTTGAAGGCCTCCTTAGCTTCCTCCTTGGTGGCATAAACCACCTCCTTGACGTCTGGAGTGTTGGGTCTGGACTCGCTGGAGCTGAGGAAAAATATAAACAGCCAGGGAGTTCTTTGTTAGCTTCAACTCTGGCTGAACCATTGACTCCGCATGCAGATGCATCATTCTAAGGTCTCTTCGTTTTGACCAGAGTGAAACTATCTTCCTTTCCATCTTAGCAACTTAACCCCTTCGCGCCGCGACGCGGATAGAGCCGCCGTAAAAATTGACATCCTCAGCCCACTTTTCAGCTATTATTCTTGGCCCACGCTCGAGCGAACACGGTGAAAGAAGGCAGACCCTGGCTCTTTTATATATGGCGATTGGTCTTTGTGTGTAGCCCAGAAATGAAAAGACCGAATTTGCATCAAAATCACCAGCTTCACAATAGTCCCCACTTTGAAAAGAGGCAACGGGAATGTGGAAGCTTGAGTAGAACCGCATGCCACCGAACAATCAGCCTTTTCGCTGTCTAATTCAAAGCGTGCAGAGCACGCAGGGCCACAAACCGAGAATCTGCAGTTTGGCAGGTGGCCTTCGTGGCCAAGCGAGGCAGGAATTCTTGGAGTCGGCTTTCGGGAAGAAATTCCCGTCGTCAAGGGGTTAATACCAAGCACTCACTTAACCCCTTCGCTACGGAGGACTGCTACTACCGCACCGTTGTGTGAGGATTAGTGCATACCACGCATACAGTCTATTCACCATGCAGCTGCTGGTTCAATGGGGCCTACTGCTGGACAAAGCCCTCCATTCAGGGCATACCACAGCCCAGCAGTCGAGGTCAAAAGAATCCATTTACCAGCTCACACCCTTGTCCTTTTTTTTTTTTCAGTTGTCCTGTTTTTGTTTTTTCAGCAGTGATTCCTTGGACCAGGGCATAACTTCTTAAAGTGTAGCTGCGATGAATTTTTCTTCAACACAATATTTCTGCATCTTTGTACTCTTCGTCAATGTATGAAAAATCTAACACTCTCCTATTTGGTTAAATGCACTGAAAAATCCACACTTTGAAACATTCCATGCTTTCCTCAAAAACTGAGGGCGCTTTGCTGTGAAGTCATTTAGGGAAGACATGGTTCAGTGCATAGGTATTTCTGTTCAAATTGTCAACCCAGAATTTACCAACTGAGAGCATGTCTGAGAGAGGGATTGATGGTTTCTTATTGCTATGCACATAAATAACAGTGAATCAGCAAAAAAGAGAAAACTTAGTTCAGGAAAAACCATAAAGACACAGGACTTGTTTGTGTAAAAACCAATGCAACATGGAGGCTTCTTCCTGGATGACATCACAGTTTTGCTCATTAATATGGAAATACTCATTAGCATAAAAACTAAAAAGGCATCAAAGTACCCTTTGAAATAGTAAAATCGAAGTTGAAGTAAGGTTTACTGAGGCACAGAGGTGCATTTCACAGGTTTGTCATCAAAAACATTGATTGCAGCTCACCCTTTAACAAGGACTCACCTGTCTGCGTCATCCTCTGTGACGTTTGTATTGGGCGTGTTCTCGGCGGTCTCCACCGCGCTCCCGCTGCCCGTCGCGGCTGCTGCCCCTTGCTGCTGTGTGGCCATGAACCCCATCATGGGTCCCGGCATGGCCGTCATGGGTCCGCCCTGCATGCCCATCATGGGGGGCATACCCATCATGGGTGGCACGCCGCCGGCTGCCATGGTCGGTGGCATGCCGGCCATGTTGGGGGGCATGCCGCCACCGGCAGCGGCGGCCATGTTGGGGGGCATCCCCGCCAGGTTGGGCGGCACGCTGGTGGCCGTGCTGCTGGTGGCTGTATCCGTTGCCGTGGTTTCTTGGGTCTTTTCAGTGGCTGAATCGGACTTCTGATCGTCTTCCGATGCTGCCGAACTGTTATTTTCAGGCTCCCTAACAAAAAAAGAAAAAAGCAACACCTTAAAAAATCACATCTTTTGGATAAAAAATGTAAAGTCAGTTCCAACCAATGAATCAATTTGTCCTACGTCCCTAACCTTGGGCATTTTTACAAGGAATATTCTGAATTGTTCACCATCCTGGAATCAAACACATGTATGTTCTTCATTCTCAAACTTTCTCCGGATACACAGCCACGTGTTGAGTAACAGTGGCTGGGCTCTATCTTCCTCAATCCGGCAAAAAATAATCCCTGGCCAAAACTTTTCACTCAAAGAGGCTCAAGGTTAAGCACCTGAACTTTAATCTAGACCCAAACTTGGCCTGAAAATATCCTCACAACCGAGGGCTAACAACTGGCACTAACGTTCTGAAGGTTTGAAGCGCTTCCCTTTGTTAAAATGAGGAAAAACTGGAGTGGCAAACTTACGAATCCTTGTCGAGCTGCTTCACAGCAATCATAGCTGGAAGAAAATGAAAAAGGACAAAGACATTTAGGACAAAAATCTAACGAGAGAATGCCCGAGAACAAAATTGACATGTATACATCAATGTTTGCAGTTGAAGAAAGGACAATGAGAGAAAGTGGGATTCGAACCTTTGACGCCGAGAATATGGCACAGGTGTTCTGCCAATGCAAGAACTTGACTTGGCGACGTTAGACTGCACAAGGCCGAATGGCTCAGTTGGCAGAGTACCTGAACTGTATTTCACAGGTCTCTGGTTCAAATCCCACTTTAGCAAATACCATGTATTTCTCATTGAGTAGCAAACCTTTGAGTTCTTCCAACTCCTTGGGGACTGTCCACGTGGACTCCTTGGTCTTGGAGTTATAGTAATAGACCTTCCCCGTGTCTGACTTGTACTCTTTCCAGTCACTCTGTGACAAGAGCAGCTAAGACAAAAATTTGACATCAAAGACAAAAAAAAACAGTCAGCAATATTAATTGGCTTGGCGTCGTGGATGTGAATTTGTTACTAGGATTTCCTCCTGCACCGATGTGTATCTCCACACTGCATTTTCATTATTTTTTGTGAGGGTAAAAGCTGGTTTAAAATTCACGTCCGTTATCATTATCGTTGACTAAAAGTGCAGCTGACCCACTGCCGCATTGGATTCGGACATGCCACCAGATTCCCGCAAATGGTGGTCGGGTGATTGATGTCTGCAGTACAGTTCACAGGAAGTCATGGGTTCGAATCCCAACTGAGCACGCTGTTGAGTTTTTTTGGCAACCGTCGGACCACACTGAGAACACTGTGTGAATTTATAAGCCAGTGTGATGGCCAAAACCTAGCACAAAAAATAATGACAAAGATGAACAAAGAAAATTCTCAGGGGTGATTGAGCTCCAAGGCCAAACCGAAAGTCCAACCAAAGATTCAAAGTCTAGGTTTGGCTGCGAGGGGAAAACGCTGACCGATGATCGGATCTTTCCAAACTGCTCAACTGTACCTCCGCCGGTGTCTTCAACTCGTCCGGTTTCTCCCACAAGGACTGTTTGGTGACGCTGTTGTAGTAATAGGTCCTTCCGTCTGGTGCCTTATGCTCGGCCCAGCTGGTCTTCTGTGATCCAAAAAAGACATCAAATTTAGGGTGCATGGGATATTTTTGGGGGAGTGACAAACTTTATGCCCCAAATTTGGAACTTTTGATACTGTATAGCGAGAATCAGTAATCAAGGATTTGTAAAACATGCAATGCCCATTCAAACGATAGATTTGACAATAATCAGCAGATATATGACGATACCTTGGCTTGCTTAGACTCTGATCCAGCCGCTGATTGTGTCGACGATGCATCTGTCGGTGTACTGGAGCCGGTGGCCGAAGTTGACTGACCAATTAGATAAGAAAATGACAAAAATAAAACACCTTTTTTCATCTATTTGAAAACATTTTAACCATCAGTTGTTAACGCTAAGAATTTTGCCAGCTTAGTTAAATATGCAAAAAATTAACTCTGACAATTAGTGTTTTAGTGAGACAAACCTTTTGAGTAGCTCCATCGCTCAGCTGATTCTCTGCAGATGAAAAGACAACAATCACTTTTATTTCAACAATAAGAACAATGCCACAGCCCCTTTAACCCAATGAGGCCTATTCCTCCATGGTCCAGCAACGGGAGATTTTGATGAATTCAGGACTGTACATCGCAGCCACTGTTATTTTAAATGGGGGCTTGATGTTTTTACATCACAAGAGTGCAACCCAACCAGAAGAGATCCTCCGAGTACTCCAGCCAAAATGTGGGTTCCGGGGTTTCCACCCAACTCTATCAACGTCCCTCTACATTTCTTTAAGATAGAAGCACACTACCCTGTGAAAGATTGAGAAAACCTGTCCTTCATTACCAAAAGAAGTCAGAGAGTGATTTCCTTTTTTCCACCTAAACCAGAATAACCTGGTATGCCCAAGAACCTCTGGAAGGAAAAGTTCTTTGGTAGGTGAAAGGGATACCTTGGTTAAATAAATTTACAGGTTTAGGCAATATGTAAACGTAATTGTTTCAAATTGATAGACGATTCTCGTACCTCCGTCTTTGGGCGTGTCTGTGTCGTCGTCCTTTGCCGTGTTGGTTCCAGGTGCGCCCATGCCCCCCGGCACCCCCATCCTGTTGTTGAAGGCCCCCATGTTCGGGGGAAACATCCCCGGGGGCATGCTCATGGGGGGCATGCCCCCTGGCGGCATACCACCGGGGAACCCCGGGGGCATGCCGCCTGGGGGCATGCCCATGGGGGGCATATTGGGGCCGCCGAAGTTGGGCGGGGGCAGGCGGGGGTTCATCATGCCGGGATTGCCAGGGTTGTTGCCCGACTGGCCCGGCAGGGGCATGCCGAACGGAGGTGGGGGCATATTAGGGTTTGGTGGCTGTTTGGAAAAAGATGAAAAAAAAGTACACATATGTAGGCCCAATTTTATGCCTTTTTTTTTAACAGAAATAATGCTTGGAAAATTCGGAAGCTATAAAAACCTCAGCTGAGAACCACTCAAGAGCAATATACACAGTGCATGACATTTTAGCTGGTACCCTGGTCATTCACATAGATTACATTCACAGCATCGGAACACAAACAATAACGCCAAGCAATCGAGTCTGCCTCCGGTTTCAATTTCAACAACTCACAACTCACAGAATTTCTATTCCAGATTGACCTACCACAAATGGCGGCATCATCATGGGGGGACGGTTGCCAAACATTTGAGGAGGCTGCTGGGGTGGGTGGGAGTCCCCACCCCCTCCACTGACGCTGGTGTTGTTATCCTGCAAACACGAAAAACACCAACATTCGCTCAAATCGGATATACCTGCTATGACAAACAACTGCGTATAAAAATTGCAACTTTTAAAATTCTCACTAGAGCTAGGCCTAATAAGCGCGCTAACCTGTGTAATTTAACCTAACAACCAAACAGGGAGGGAAACAGTTTAGGGTAATCACTACATGTTCAGTGAAGATCTCCATTTGGACTGTTTCACATATGGGCATTTGGGTATAAGCGTTCAAAATACGGACATCCCTTGATTCCATTACAGTGGTTTACTGACCATCAGAAAGCGAACCAATGGAATGTGCCACCTGGGAATAATCTTTGGACATACCCTTCGACAAACATTACAATGACGGCCAACTTTTTCCATTTGGAGTTTTGACTTATACTTATAAATACGGATGCCGCATAGATGCACAAACCCTGAGACTGGTCTGCAAAAAGTGTTTTCTGAGTGAATTACTTGGTATTTTCTCTCCCAAATTGAACGTTTCTGGACAAGTTTTCTCTTTCTGATGGCCAATAGGTCACTGCAGAGAACAATTTCTGGCATCTGTATATGGAACTCTTTCCACACTTAGGCCCTAACTTTGTCATTACAACACTTCCATGGACAGGGTGGAGGTTTGACCTGAAAAAAACTGTTTTGACCTAAAGTTTTAATGTTATTTCTTGACCTTCAACTTTTACAGACACTGTTGCTTGTAAAAACTGGGCCCATACAGGAACGTGATGAAAAATGGAATGGAAAACGTGTTATTAAAAACAATATAAAATCAATGAAAAATAAAGAAATTAAAGAAAGGCCTAGGCTTAAAAATAGCCTTGTGACTATCTGACAATGATTTAGGCCTAAACTCCAACACACGTCGGGCATTTCGGGCAGGGCAAAAATCCAAAATTGATGCCAGCTTGCATGATTCTGGGCCTTGAATTTGGTGGATTTTACACTGTTTCCAATGGGGCTTGAATTACATATAGTGCGCTGCACCATCACCAAGCCAAGGGGTGGAATCACAATATACAATATACAGCATGCATTGCACAGCAACAAAATGGCGGCCTTCAACAACTGAAATCACCCTCATTCCGTCGATTGTTAGTACATAAAAAAGAAAAGAGGGCCAATTTACTGACACCATATGGTCTCTGTAATCACATCTTTCTTTTGTTGGAATAAAATCGAGCATTTGATGCACAAAACAGGGACAATAATGAAAATTGGCATCGTTTATTTTACACATGCTTACCATTTCCAAGATGATTCGCTTGGTGGCGCCCTCACACTTTTACGGTGATCCGCCGCTTAATGAACGGAACAAAATCCATCGAAGCGTCTGCTGAAGAAGGAAGTCCCACCAAAAAGAAAATGCCAAGAAAAAGACGTAACAAGAAGGACCCAGTCGTCCAGAAACTGAATTTTGACAAGGAATGTGAAGAAACCACAACCATCGGAGGCTCGTTTGAATCAGATAGGATCTCTGAGGGGGGAGCCTCCGTTGAGCATGAGATCTGGGGATGTGTTCCGAGTCCGGAAGCAGGTGGCCCACCAACCGCGTCAGAGCAGTCGGGCTACGCCGAGCTGATACCAACGGACTTCGCGCACCGCGACCGTTTTAGGTTCTCCTGGCCATACGGGCTGACGGAAGATGACGACTCACCAAACCGGTTTCTAGTCATGTGTGCATGTCTGATCGTCTTAATTCTGGTTGTGCAATGGATCAAAACTGAAGGTACGAACCTCTGTACGTCGTGTCTTTCGTATGTGAAAATGACGAATCCTCGGGAAAAAAAAGTGTAACCAAAATTGTAACTTACATCTTAAATTCATTTCAGGATACACTTTGTGCTTGAGGTGGTACATGGAGTTGTTGGACAATGAAGAACTCGGCAACAGCGAGGAAATGGGAACATTGTCTTTCTTTAGTCTCTTCTCGGGCATATCAGGTGAGAAAATACTGAAATAATGCAATCTTTTTGTAGTTCTGCAAGCTCATTTCCTTTGCTTTTAACTTTATGTAACATTAATTCTAAATGCTTCCACTAGTGGGTTAAAATGCTGCATTACTTGTTCCATGCTTTACCCTGACGAGCAGTTAATCCTTTGTGGCAGGTTTTCTGTGGTCTCTGCTCGTCTCCTTCCTCCTTGGGTTATCGTGTTTGCTCTTCTCCTGGAGCCTCACCTACCAAGATTCCCTGCGGCCTGGCGAGTTTCCTCCTTCCCCCCTCTCTCCCAAGAAGTTCAGGTAAGATGTCACGCTTGACGAATCCTCCTCAAATCTTACACATTGACTCCAAGTTTTCTTGTTTTTATTTCATCTTCTGCTGTATTCGGAGGACTGGAGTAGAAAAAATAGTCTGCGAGTGAAAGTGTGTTGCCTGACCAGCAGTGGATGTGTGGATGAAAAGAAGTCGTGGATACATTTCTCCTCATGTTTGTTGGAATGATTGTGGTAAAATCGACGAGTAATTGAGACTCAAATCAAACTGTGTTTGACTCACGTCTAACTTGAACTTGAATCAGTGCCTTGAGTCAACGTCTCGTCTGATTTTTCTTTCAGGAAGCGATCGGGACACTCCTTCCACTCGAGCTACGTGATGGCCATCATCAACGGGATTGCGGTGTTTGCCTTGTCAGCCTGGTGGCTCTGCACATAGCTTTATCTGCCGATGGGTGTGGTTAGGTATTGTGGTAACGCTGTGGGTTCAGGTGCCCACAACTTTTAGTGTGTTCGTGTTGTGAGGGTGTGTGGTTTGGTAGGCAAATTAAGGTGCATTTCTGGTTGTGGTCAGCAAGGTAAACTCCAGTACTCATCTTACCTGATGGCTTCACGCGCGTTTTCATCTCACATGGGTGTGGTCAGAGCATGGGCATGGTCAGTGTGGTTCTGAGGATTGATCACAATTGCTGGATATATATTTACATCGTCAGGGCACTAGGTTGGGAAAAGCTCGACTAACATTTCCCTCTAGCTCGAATGAGAACCTAAAAAGCTGCTGTTCATGTTTAAATTATGTCCGGGATAAAGTTCTTGTTGATGTACAGTATTTCAAAAGCATGATTTATTACCAGTTTAGTTTCTGGTTTCCTCTGTGGCTGTTAGTCCATTTGACCAGATTTTTAATTTTAAGTTCTTCAGGTATTTTCTTTTTCAAGTGTGAATAGTGATCTGAGAAATATCTTGAGTTTATTTATTTTGGCACATATTGCTGGCTCGTGTTTTACATGTGTATATTTTTTTTGTAAAAAGACTTAAAAACGTGATCGTCAAAATTTATCAGTATTTCGGCCAAGGGAAATGCATGATACAACTTTCATTTCTGTTTTGTAGTTCAGGTTAAAATATTCGCCTAAAACATCACTGTGTAGAATGCACATAATTTTCACTAATTGATATAAAAAATTGATTGAAAAAATAAGACAGCCACTTTAAAAGATACACATTTTTACTCAAGTGAAATGCAATCTTTTAAATTTTGTTTTAATGACCCAACTGTTTTACTGTCAGTCAAAAACTGAATATAAATTTTGTACCTAGGTATGCTATAAACGGAATGCATTGTTTTAAGCTGCACAAATATTTTCTGGAGTACAATATGTACAGGCCTAGTTTCAAAAGATACAACTTTGAAATTTATTTCAAGTTCCGCCAAGAGTTCATTTCTTTTTGGGAGTCTGCTGCAAAGTTGACCCTGATTTGACTCAACTTTGGGTGAATACAGAGGGTTTGCATGGCTGCCTTCTTGAAGGCCGGTTCTATTGTCCCACAGGGTGTGCACACAAAAGGTTTCCCTGTGGAACAAAAGAGCTGCCCTGCAAGATGGCCACCACGCAAAGCCTCTACAGGGGATTGAAGGTAAATTCAGAACAGGTGTAAAATCTCCGAAAGGAAGCTTCCAGAAACTGAGACATGGATACATAACCATGTCTAGTGAAGTGACTAATTTTTTGGCAAGGTGATAGTTGGGACCGGGTTTGATTGGCTTGAATGCCAAATGACACTGCCACTTTGAAAAAATGGAGCGCTTGATTCAAATCATGTCTTGAGGTCAGGTCTGTGACCCCCGGGTCAAACATCATGACCCCAGGACACGACGGATGGACCATTAAACCGTTTCGCACAGAATTTTGTGCAGGAAGTACAGATGTTGGGAAGCATTGTGGTCTGCTTGCTACGAACTGTAGCAGTCTTCAGTCTGGTGGGATAGAGGAAAGTATGGGTTAATCAGTGCATGTGCAGTCAGTGTGCAAGTCCTGTGCGTACCGAAACGTTAACTTGTGTTTTTGATCACACAAATTCTATCCAATGAAGACTTTAAATCTGACAAAAGCAGCCCATCCTGGCACTTGGCAGTGGGGAGAAGGCGGCATGTGGAGCCATGGAGTGAATTTGTGTCCTTAAATGACAAATGGTGACAAGCATTTCAAGGCATTTTGGTAACCTGTTCTGGCAATCAACTTCAAGCAAGGTGTTTGTGCTTGGGGTAAACCATCCAAATATCTGACTCTTGGTTGATCGATCTGACTTTGGGCAAAACCCAGGTCACACCATTTAACCCCGGGTCAAACCTTTAGCTCTCATGATGCACCACTTGGCTCTCGATAATCTGAATCCTCGGTCAAACCATTCGTGACCCAAAGATCGAAGTAACCAACCTCGGCATAAGTGATCCTGACCCCGCATTGGCAAATCTATTCGACCAAATATTAAACTTTACAAATGTGGCATCCGATTATTAAAAAGGACATCAAATTTCATTCAACGCCTTCCAAATGATTACAGGATTATCAAACTTTCAAAGCCAAAAGGAAAAAAAAAACACCAGTTCTAATAACATCAGTATCTTTGAAATAGGAAAAAATGTTCTGGCAAGATTTAAAATATCCATGTTCGGCCACATTTGAGCGACCACCTACTAGAATATGATACAATTCTACAGCATTACCGTTATGAAATATTTAGCAACGATTATTTCAACAAGAAGTAAAAACCATACCAAAACTGAAATGGAAAGAATAAATAAAACTTTTTAATCAATACATATAAAAGAAAATCTCTTATTTGTGAAAATGCCAACATTTCACAAAATTTTAATATTAAATTGTACCCCACAATTTTTTTGGAATAGGTATTTTTTCAGAACCCATGATCCACAGGGATTCTAATGAAACTGCTGGCACTAATTTTAACTGCTACATCCTCCCTGTCATGCCACAACTGCATGGGTTGTGCTTGTAAAATTCTAATATTTTCCTATTCTGAATAGAAAAAAAAAACCTGCACACCAATACTCCATAATTGGCCATTTATTTTCACATTTAAATTATTTCATTTATAGCAGGCACAAAAAATACCTCAGTAGAAACATTTTTGACATGCGGACTTATCTGTTTGAAAAAGGTAGAGCGGGTCTGAATGGCTACCAGCCAATTCCTAACATCTACACATCGGCACGGCCGGTTACCCTCTCAAAAATTCTTCTGAGCAGATTATTCTCTGCCAATCAATTTCTACAATTTCAATCTCCTGCAGTCTCCTGACGACAGACAGAGCCCACTGTCCAAAACGTTGAGTACCGCCGGTTCTTTTCAGGACCCCACATGCTCAGCGAGATGTAGCCATGATGCTACCGGAAATCTTGTTAACCTACTTGTTTCAACGCTGCATAGAATTTGCCCATGCTTTCGGGTTTTTTTTTTACCCGGGTAGTTTTATGTCTTGTCACAGTCTCATTTCAGAAAGTATAGTATCAACTTAAAACATGTTTTACAAATAAATAAAATAGAACTTTTCTCTATCCAAATATAAAAATAAAGCATTACCGGAGTCTACCAAGTACTCATTTTAAGACGTTGAGCGTAGAAAAGTACCTTATGAAAAATTTCTGCAGTCCTGATTATACCCACGGACTTTGTCAAACAACGAGAGTTGTTCAGTCATTTCATTAATTATCACGATGCCAGATTGGTTGATTGTTCAAATTGACGGCAAAAGGGGTGTGAATTCTAATGGTGTTTGTATCACTGGCACTCGTCATTGCCCGAAAAAAAAAGTCACTTTGTTGCTCATGCAGCCTTGCTGGGGCTGTGTCATCTTGTCAGGCTGACCCTGTCACTGTCGGTATTGTCAATGTGGCAAGTGACAGCAGTACTGTCGGTGTTACATGTGAGAGTGGGCACCCCGCTTGAACTCTGGTTCAGACGTGGACCGATCGTGGGTCAGTGTCCTTCGATTTTGGCCCCGATAGTAATGTCTCTTTCTCGGGTGACCATGACAAAGTTGAGAAATCCCGTTTTGGAAGCGGGGGCTTCTGGAGCCCCAACTTCCCGTCTGACAACCGACCCAGCGACATTGACTGGCAATCTCTCGCTGGCAGTTTGGGCCGGCCCAAAAGTGAAGTCTCTTCTTCCGGTGGGTCGGTGCAGCCATCCTGATCTTTGACCTTTGGGGTTGCGTCAAGGGTCACATTGGGCCGGCCCCCCTTGATGGATGAGTACAAGTGGTTCCCCTCCAGGCCCTTGTCGGGATCTGATGGGGCAGATTTGTCAGGCCGCGAGCCCTTAATTGAAGCATAGGTGTGAAGTTTATTGTCGTCTGGTGAGGGTAGATCATCAACTCGGCCCTTGCCCGCATCACGTGCAAAGCCACTGCCCGCAACATTGTCCGAGCTTAAACCGGGACGTGTCCCCTTCACTGACGTATAGGTGTGGAGGGGTTCGTCCGTTCCACCCTTGTATGGGTCCTCTGGCAAGCTGTCTGGCAATTGCACTTGTGGTTTGGAGGGACCCTGTGAACCTGGGCCGGCGCTGTATCGATGCATGAGGCTGGCCTCTCCTAGAATTTCAGTGCTTGGGGGCTCGTTCCCCCCCTCCTCAGTTTGGGGTGCCGCCCCCTCGGTGTGGTCCTTCTCCCCATCTCTTGGCACCCTGTGATACGTGGGGTCACCAAAGTGATCGTCCGCCGCATCTTGAGTCGTCTTGCCGTCCGACGGCTTTTGCGGGGTTTCGGTTTCCTCCTTGATGGTGTCCGGCTTGCGGTTAATCGACAACTTCCCGAAATCCAGCTCACAATACTGGCCCTCCTGGTAGGGTATGTTCAGGTCGATGTACTCCTGTGAAAAAAAACAAACCAAAAAATAACTTTGTATTCACACACGACCACCGTCTGTGGGAATGTACGATCGCTGTATGTGTGTCTTTACCATGCATGCAAAGACAGCTGCAGAATCAAATTTTTCAGAGGGGCTAAACATGTTTTCCTGCTGTGGGGGGGGAATTTGGAAGTTTTTTATACAATCTTTTCTGGATTCTCTGAGTAGTGAGGCTAAGTTCTTAGGTTTTTTTTTTCCATGCTCTCAGCTCAGGAGGAAGGAAATTGGAATGAAACCCTGAAGAATTTGCCTGGATCTCGTTTGAAAAAAATTCGGATCCTTTTGGTGGGCCATGGCCCTCGGAGCTCCCCCTTCCATCCACAAATCTCTTCTTGTCAGACTGTTCGTGCTCCCGCGAGTTGAACAAAGAGTGCGATGCTGAACACTCAAATCTGTTCATTTGAAATACTGAATAGTTCTCGCATCTTCAAAAAAAATGGATGCATTTATAGAAACTGGCCTCCTACCTGTCTTGTGTTTGATTCCAGGAGTTCGCCAAACTGCCCAGCCAGCTCAGAGAACATGGGTCTGTCCTTGGGTTCGTCACTCCAGCACTCCAGCATGAGATTATACCTACGTGGGTGACAGCAACAAACCAAGTACCAAATTAATCACTGAAAATTGCAACAAATCAGCAACCTACTATGAGCAGAATTCAATTCGACCAAAAGATCCTGCTTATCAATTTGGTGATTGATAGGTCATCAATTAGTCAATTATTGGCCAATCATCTGTTACCAGAATATTATCTGTTTGATTCACTGAGATGGACACGAGTCGAGTACTTCTTATTCTTGTATTTACTGATTCTCAGTGTACAACTGAGAAATATATGGATTGATTGAAAGACTGATCATAGTAGTGAACGATTGATGACAAATTTGATGATAAACTGACTCGACTGACTGATAAATCTTTGATTTGTTGATTCATTGATCATCATTGAACTGGTGATTGACCGATTGACTGATCAATTTAATTATGGGTTTTGCTCTTACCCGATGTATATATTTATAAATTATGTATACTCAGTGCTTATCTGAGAGCTTGCAAAAAAAATTGCAAGCTTACTCGGGTGGGACTCGAACCCATGACCTCCTGCTTAACACGACGTCTTGACCACTCGACCACTGAGCTTGCTGGGTTCGGCTGGCCGGTCTGAGTCAGGTGTAGAAGTGGGTTCCGCGAACTATTTTCAAGATGTGGTTTTGTGTTGGGGAGATGCAAAAGTACATCTCAAAAATGATCCACTGATTGTTGACTAACTGAATGAGTGGCTGACTGACTAATTGATCAATCAACAGACTAATTGATTGATCAACTGAATGATTGATGGATCAATTGAATGAATGATTAATTGACTGATTGATTGATCAAATGTTTGACTAATTGATTGATTGATTGACTGACTGATCGATCGGTATCAATTGATAATTGGTAGTACTGGACACTTTATTGGGAATTTGACTGACTGACAACATTTAGCTTACACTTCTCTGGGCGCGTGCTCTGGGCAGCTCATCCGGTAGCCTGCCTTCATCTTGTCGTAGAATTTCTCGTCCACCTGCACGCCGGGATACGGGGACCCACCGAGGGAAAACACCTCCCATGTGAACACGCCGAAGGACCAGCTGCGGGAAAGAAAACACAGGGAAGTCAATGACAGAGACAGGGCACAAGACACGGTCAATATAAAAAGATCTGAAGGAGAAGGCAGAAAAAGGGAAGAAAATACAGTCCCGAAAAAAACGACCCCAAGGTGGAGTACAAAGAAAAATGCTGAAAGACAAAAGAGAAATATTTTTGAAGTAACTCGAGGAACAAATATGGAAACAGTAAGACACCCATTGGGCACGGCAGAATTTCCAACATGTTTGGATTCTTTCAAAAACTGCTGAACTTCCAAATGCATCAAGAAGCAATAGATGATTCCTCCTTTGTTTCTCCCTTTCTGCCATGGTGGAGGTGGGAGGGTTGGACTCTTAAAACCTCCTTCCCTGGGCAAATGCACATACCAACAATGGACAACAGACAGACAGTCCGAGGTACTCACATGTCACTGTAGGTCGTAAAGATCTTGTCAAAGATTGCCTCTGGGGCCATCCACTTGATCGGCAAGAGGCCCTGAAACCAGAATGAAATGTTGTTTGGTTTTTCTCGTTAGACAGGTTCTGCAGATTTCAGGGGCATTTTGGGAAACTCCTAGTTTTGAATTTTCAAAGAAGAGAACTCTGGAAGGGATTAACTTGGGACAGATTATCGTCACGTTCTTACAGTGCCTACCTTGCCGCTGCCAATGTAGTCGGTGTCGTGGTAGAAACTCCTGGACAGTCCAAAGTCACAAATCTTCACCACGTTGTTCCCGCCCAGAAGCACGTTGCGGGCTGCCAAATCCCGATGAATACACTGAAAAAGAAACCCAAACAATTTGTTAAGTTTGGCCACAGTATTTCTGGCATCCATTTCCCCCAAGGTAACTGGCTCGGACCACAAAATGACATTCTTGACTGGCGTTTTGGAATTTAACGTGCAGTTTTACAGCTATTCCGTACAATCTGTCCATTTCCACTAAAACTGTGATAACGCAAGAGTCTATATTAACAGATTTCTTGCAATAGTATTAACATTTCAAATAAACTTTCTACTACATCCCACAATGCTTCTCAACAATAAACAAATGACCCAAGGTTGATAAAAGAGCCCCAAACCCAAGACCCTTTCAAAGTTCCATGAACCTGTGATGGGAAAAATTTGAATTTGTTTTTTGGTGGGGGGGGGGGCATCCTACCTTCCTGGAAGCCAGGAACTCCATCCCCCGAGCCACCTGGAAGCAGTAGCACACCAGGTCCTCCACGGACAACGGCTTCTCGGCCATGCGCTTGGCCTCCTTGTCCACTAGCTCGTACTCAGCGGCCGGTGGCTCGCTCACGCAGGCCTCCCGCAGCAGCAGGTCGGCGTAGTTCAGCTCGTTCTCCTGGTTCTCCTCTGCCTCGCTCTTGGCCGGCTTGACAGCCTGGAAGGTGTCGCGCTTGGAGCGCAGGTAGTCGCTCAGGTTCCCGTACGGGCAGTACTCCACGATGACGAGGGGAGGGGCTGTCAATTCGTGGCCGGCCGGGGAAGAAATAGAATCATTATCAGTGTTATAGTCTGGTACTAGTAAAGTATAAACTTCACAGCCGAGTATTGAAATGGTTCGGCGTGAACAAAGCCACGGACATTGGACAGCGCATACTCCAAAGTAAGATTACGGAATAAAACTCGGCCAAGTACGTTTCAAGTACTTTGGTCCACAATTTTCACAAAAGTCAGAGTGGCTGAAATCTTATATTTGTTTTGTGATCTCACTTTGTGGGAAGTCAGGAAAGTCCTGCTAGTAGGAAAAATGGAAAACTTGTAACAAAGTAGTTTGGAAATAGTAACATCTGTGGAGGTGCACTTACAATCCTGCGTGCAGGCGCCCAGGAAGTTGACAACGTTGAGGTGATGTCCCACCTGAATAAGCATTTTCAATTCCCCGAACAGTGCCTTCCGGTCGACATAACTACAATCAGCTGGAAATGAAAAAAAAAGACACCAGATAAAACACTCGCTCAGGGAGGGAAACTCTGAACTTCAAACGAAAATGGCAACCTTTGGTTGTTACGTATTTAAAAAGTCAGTTTTTGAGGACAGGTCTCAGGTCAACCCAGAAGTGGCCACAAAATCGGACGAGGAATGACCTTGGAGCAAATTCGCAAAAGCTGAATGCGACATAACTTCGATAGATTTTGCCACTGACAATTCCTGATGCAAAGAGTGCATTTGCATTCCCTTCTGCACCAAACCTGAACCCATCGTTCACTCTATTTGTTTTGCGCCGTGATACGAAGCGAAAAGCCGAATACAGAAATTCCACTGCACTTGTCAAAGCTTTGGCAAATCTTACATTTGACGGTTTTCACGGCCACCGGGACATATCGCTCATTCTTGTTGATTCCGGCTGCCACTCCTTTGAGAACCATGCCAAAGGCTCCTTGACCAATCACAGAGCCTGCAGAGGAGGGAACAAACGAAAGAACAAAACCTCAACTTCCACCCCAGTCCTCTTGTTACTTTGCTCGTCTCATTGAGCATCTTAAAGTGCATGTCAAACGACAGGGGTTTATTTACCAATGCCCCAATTAAAGTAGGACTTAGCCAAGTTCATGATGAAGAGTCCGAATGGACAGAGCGTGACCCACATAACCTTAATTTGCACCTGAGAAAAAAAAGAGTTTGCCCAACACTTGTTGTCACTACACAATGATGTGAGATGTGAAAGAGGATGTTCCAATCTATTAATGACATTTTTAAATTGACCCCGTGACCCCAATAATCTTACCTTTGCAAGTGCAAAAAAAAGGTTGTCCCGAATTTGTTGTCGCTTAGAGAAATTGTTTGAATCTACAAATGACATCTTTAAAACTCTCGTATTTTCCAGCTAACAACTACAGTTTTTTGCATTATTACATAATCCCGATAATCATTGATTAAAATCTTGCTTGGCAAATTACAAGAGATATAAACTACGTTGAAACCAGAACGATCAACTGGGCAATTTCGTCCAAAGCTCAGTCGTTCTAAACATCTAGATCCCCTGGTCCAAACTGTGCAATTGTCAAGTATTTTGCTGTACCTCTTCATATGTATATTGATTTGTTCAAAAACTAACAGTCGAAAAACATGTCTTCTTGTGAAAAGAAAATGTAATTCAAAACTCTCTTTGCCAACAAAGTGACTCACCTAGCTTCAGCCGATCGCGGGGGAACTCCCACCGGGGGTCAAAGGGCAACTGGTCCCCAAACTCCTCCTTGAAGGACATGCGGAAGGGGGAGGCGGGGCCACGCGGGGACCGGGGATTGACCAGACCCAACTCCATGTTTGCGGAATTGCGTTTGGCCTTCCGAGCCAATCGGAAATTCTGTAAAGAAATGACCACAAATGAAAAGCTATCAAATGTGACCTCAAGTTTGTGAGCGCAGTCAAATCCAACCTTGGCAAGGCTCCTTAACCCCTTCGCTCCGGGAGACGGCGAGAGCCGCGGCATGACGGGCTTAATTCTGACCTCACTGCATACCTTTTTCTTGTCAACATAAATTCCTGCAAACATTTTTTTACGGAAAATGGCAGGAGAGTCGTTAGAATCTCTGATAAAATTTCAGCCTCAAAAAACTCAAACACGTAGGAGTGTTGCAGGAGTGCTGCACTGATCTGGACTTTGTTTTCATGCTAAAAAGTTGTTGCACAAGCGCCCTCGTGTGGCCACACACACGATGCCACTGGGGACTGCACGCCACTCACCCGCTTTGCCATGGCTATTATGCCGAGGACCAGGATCAGAAATATGATGCCAGCGATGATACCACCGGCTAGCAGGGGTACCAGCAGTGCATTGTCCCTGTCTGTGGAGGACAAAAAGTTACAAGAATTCGTGAGTCTTACCATATCGCTATACGAAACACACGTCAAAGCCGTGGACCTGAAAGACTGTGCTGGATATGGCGGTAGCGCTGTTCAAGTTTTGCGTTAATTCCAAGAGTGCAATGAAGGTGAAATTTGAAGTGCATAAGGGCTAGATGTGGGTAATCTGTCTGCCTGACTAATTTTCACTGCATCTTCATATGAGGCAATGCATCTGCTCTATTCACAGAGCACCTTCCGGGAAGTTAACGACAAATATGGCAAAATAATTGCATCCAGTGGCAAAGTATGACTGATATTGATGACTGACATTAAAACAGAGAGTGAGAACGGCAAACAGAATAGATGGAGTGCCGAAAAGGGAGGAACGATGTTCTCACGTATGACAAGCGTCACGGTGTCCCTGGCTTCCCCGTGGTCATTTCGGGCGACGCACGTGTACTCGCCATTGTCCGCCTCTGCCAGTCGCTTGAAGACCAGCGCCCGGGCGTCGTTGTCGTACCTCTTTGCGGGCACGTCCTCCAGCTGATTGCCTTCGTGGGGTTGCCACTTCCAGGAGATCTCGGGTGCCGGCTCTCCTGTGATGATGCACGGGATGGTCAGGTTGTCCCCGATGTTGTGGGTGTAGACTTCCTCGCTGATGGTGGCCGTGGGACTCTCTGGGGCGGGTTCAGAGGGGTGGACCATGTTACGTTCGGTATGACACCCTCAATAAGTTTTCTAAAATTTATTTAGGCTACCCAAAAACCAAAAATTCTTTCCGGCCTGGGATCTCTGAAGAAAGGGTAGATGCCCTTTTCCTCTGCTCACCTTCTCTAGGTGGTGAATTTTGTTCCCAAGATGGCAATGATGGATCTTTTCCAGTCTTTTGCCGTCTCGTTGAGCTTGTATCCTCCGTATTAGGTTTTGAGTGTTCACACAACTTTGGTGTCGTCACAAATATATATGGTTTTTATTTGAATATTTGTGAGGACTCTAAAAATTTTTTGGAAGAAACAACATTTTGGCTTATATATCCATGTAGGATTCAAACAGTAGCTTACTGCTGAAACCTGCACAAACAGACTGGTGTTAACATGCTAGAAGCAACCCGATGTTTGTAATTTCAGGTTTTTACCTTGAATGAGCAACTCGCCCGCGGATAACGCTGAGCCTCCTTTATTCTCAACGCGGCACACGTACATCCCGCCATGGGCTGGTGTGACCTCTGGCGACAGATACAGCTTGGAGGCCACCGTGTTGTTTGTAACGAGCCCTGTCTCTATGTTGGTGACGGTGCTGTTGTCGGCGGTGATTGGGCGTCCGTCTTTAGACCAGGCCAGTTCGGGGAGGGGGTCGCCCCTTGCTCGGCATTCCAGCACAAAGTCGAAGGGGATGGTCTTCTTCCTGTCCAGGGTGTACGTTCGTTGCAGCTCCGTAATGAACCTGGGCAGAACAATTTCTGCAGGGAAAGTGACCAAAATGCATCCAAAAAGCAAAGGTGAGATCGACTTCTAATGCTATCTGAAATCTGCTCAAGCGTAGGCAGGCAATGGCTGGGCATGTACTACATGGATGACACATGAGATTTCGTCAGAATGAGCACAATTCTGTGAGCAGGCAGCAGCCACAAAGAAGACATGGCAGTCGGGAGTTTGTCACACCTCTACACCATGGGGAGGGGCATTGAAACATGATGATAAAAAGACTATCTTGGCTGTACACAATTTTGAAATAGTTGACAGCTATGAAGCACTTGTATTGAAGACAGCACAAGATTTCCACTGCACTTATCATAGTTTGTATTTCGAACGGTGAACCTATCGCTGACACTTGAGCCAAGAGGGCTAATGCTGCTCGCTATCGAGCCTTTGATAAAACAGATTGACAAACCTTTCACGTTTAGCTGTACTTCATACACGACCACACTTTCATTGGTCCTCCGTTTTTGCGCCCAGCAGCGGTACACCCCCGTGTTGTTGGCCAGGGCCCTGCTTATCGTCAGCTCCGACGTATAATGGAACCCCGTCTGCCCCAAGGCCGTGACCCTCTCGTCGTCGGAGCTGATTGGGATGGGCTCCGACGAGGTCGCGTTGTCGGCGGGGATCCAGTCCCAGGCTGCATCCTCGGCAAATGCGTAGATGTTCGTCTTGCAAGCCAAGCTGGCCTGGTCAAAGTTGTACACGGTCTTCACCTCCTGAACAGCCGGCAGGCTGAACTTCAAATCTGTTGACGTTTGTGTCAAAGGCATGAGCTCCAATACAGCTGAGATAATTTCTGAACTGGTACTTTCATTGTCGATCTACCTGCGAACAACTGATCTGACTTCTTCAAGAGGGCTCATCATGATAAGGAAACCATTGAGCAGCTGTAGCTAATTAAACCACCCATCCAAGTTCTCAACTCTGCTACTGTTTTTGCTGAAATGTAATGGAAGCATTCATATACATGTACCAAGAATTCGAATCAGTCACTTAATTACTAAACTTACCGGTCAGTCTATATTCCAGGGTGTCGTACACCACGTCTTGAATTTGGTCCGACGGCGACCGGCCCACACAGCGGAAAATGCCGGACTGCGGCACCCTTCCCAGGCTCAGGACCGACGTTGTGCTCCGCTCAGAGGCCAGGGCGGAGAGGTCTCCTGCCTGCGCCCACGATTGGGCCCCAGCCCCGACGGGAATCCACTGGTTGTCATCCGTCAGCTCCCCGAGATGGTTGCAGAGCTCGCTGGTGCAGCTGCGCCACTCCCATGAGAGGAGTGGGGCGGGGTGGCCACGCCCCTGGCAGACCAGACTGTAGTTCTGCTCGGTGAAGTAGAGGGGTGGGTCTTGATAGGTGGGCGCTGGAGTCACCGTCAGATTGACTTCTGGGATTTCTGGTTAACACAATAAATTGTGATGAGCTAATTAGAATTGAATCCGGTGGAAGTGATGGATGGAGCTGGTTAGCGCAGTGGATCTCAACTTCTCAAGTCACACTGAGTTGCTCTGGGAAAGAAAATTTTACTGAACATTTTGTCACCGCTTTCAAGATGAGACGGTTGTGTGGGATTTGAAAAAAAATTTTTTGATATAACCGTAGTTTCTCCTATTTTGAAACTGCAAAAACTATCCCTGTAATAAGAATGAAAACAATGGTTTATAATTAGCAGACAAATGTAATTAGCAAAGATGCTGTCCTGTGTGAAAATGAACATCCATGTTCTCCTACGTTCTGGCCCTTCCGTGCGATGTGTTTCTTCATCCATAGGGAAGAGGCCTTTGTGAAAAGGAAAATCTTAGTTGTCATATATTTGTGCCTTTCTGGGTTTCCTAAGTGCTCAAAGGCAGACATGTTAAAGTCTCTTTATGAAACGTGAAACACAGTTTGAGACGCCTGCTCCTGCCTGGTATCATTAATGTAAATACAGATTAATTTCAATTAATGATGCTTTGCTTACGGAAGTATGTTGATACGGTTAAGTTCAAAAGTATAACGAAAAAGAGCCAAGTCGGTAAATTGCTATTTTTGACCTGCCTGTCCCTTCGTGAAAACGACGTCTATTTACGGCCCCGCAAACCTCTTGGTCGTAATTTTTCACTCACCAAGAACAGAGAGCTGAAGGGTAAGCTTTCGAGTGTGGTACTGGTTGACTGCGACCACCTCGTAAAGACCTCCATCCTCTGCTGTCACGTTTGAAATGCATCCGGAGATGATCAGAGAATCGTCAGCGGGTTGAGGATCTTCCAGAACCGTGAAACGGGGGGCTGCCTCCTGCGACTGGTTCACGCCGTTTTTGCTCCACCAGTACTGAGCCACTGGATATGATTTTATCTGAGCTCGGAGGCAGACTTCGTCCTGACCTTCGACCTCCTCGACCATCGATTGGCCGGGCGGATAAGGGGTCAGGTCAACAATGCCCTCCTCTAGTGAAAAGATTTAAGGAAAGATTTATCGAATTGGCAGTAATTTTCAGAGAGTCACTCGATATACACAGCATGAGTAACGTTAGTAGATTTTGGACAGTTTTAACAGCTGTACTCAGAAATGTTTAGACTCTGGGCATAGGCTTTGACAAGCCTCTATGATGTCGCTGTTCTGATGACTGTTCAAAAGACAGTGGAAAAATTACCCCCCCCCCAAAAAAATACAGCAAAAAAAGGTATTCAGATGAAATTCCTGTTAATATCTTGATCCTGCCTGGGGCAATCTAAGGAGAGTTCTCTTCTTCCAGAATATGGACAGCCGGGTGAGAGAGGCACTGCATATTTGTCGAGACATGACCATTATCCATGCTGTCTTCCCTCATGAAAACTGTTGCTACGTGTTTTTGCAACCTTTCAGTTGTACGAATGAACATTGAAAGAAATATTGTTCCGATTACAGCCTTGACGTCACAAACTTGTTTCGAGTCACAGCTGTAAGAACTCTGCCCCACTGATTTGTCACCGACCCATGACATAACCCGGCACCAACTCTCTCCCACTCGTTCTTCAAAACTTACCAAGTACACGCAAAGATGCGTTGAGCGTTTTGCTCTGTTCGACATTAAACAGACGGCACTTGAAGATCCCGCTGTTCTCCAGGCTGACATTTTGGAGCGTTAAGATGTGTTCAGAGATAACAGTTGAAGCTTCGAAATCGACTTTCGGATGTTTCGATTCCACCCTGGCATTATCCTTTTGCCAATCCTACGAAAGAAACACAAAGTCCCATGAAACACTACGTGACTGTGTGGCCCGTGCTTTTTGAGCAAAGACAGGGTATAGATATCGTTCAGCTTCAAAACTTTAATGTTGGTGACAACCAGGGTGCTGGTCATAATTCTGAACAGTTGGAACGTTCTCTTCGGAACTCTGTGTTCTCATTCCAGGACAGATGGCCTTTCCATCCGTTCCATTCCGGCTAATGCATGAACATTCCTTCGAATGTTCCCGCCTTCTGAGAGAGTCCCTTTAATTCTGAACATCCCCACTAGAAATCTTCCCCGTGAGACCACGAAGAGGATGGGCCAAGCTTGGTCTAAGTGGAGCGGGGGCAGGCCAGAATGGCCATGTATATCATGCAAGCACGACAATGTTCCTGAGTGACTTTGTGCTCGTATGGGGAAGTCCTGAAACACTCAAGTGCTCTTTCGCAACAGCTTGGAAAAACTCAAAAATATACACTGAGCTGACTTCTGCAGTGAAATTTACTGGAATCACTACAACGACCTTCATGTCTATGACGGAGGGGAGAAAGTTTAGGCTGATAATGTCATCCGACCGGAAGTTACAATGAAAAGACCTTTCATTTTTCAAAAAATTGCTAAAAAAAAAAAATCAGTCCTGACATTGAAAAGATTCTCCTGTTAATTTTTTAAATTGATTCCCATAATTCATTGCAGATTTCCTCTTCAGACTGATGGAGTATGATTTATTGGTAACAAAATTGCAACAGTGACATGTAAATGTATCTGAAATGACCGAATGAAATTTTTCTAAAAGCAAGAACATGTAGAAAAGCTGCGAATTCTCTTACAATGCATACAGAATCTCTGATTCGGTTGTTTTGTTTTGTTTTTTTTTTGCTCTTTTGCTAGCGTTGCTTCCACCAACCTGTTCTTGACCGGGAAATGTGAATTCTGCCTGTGGCTGGATGTCCAGCGTAAAAGGGGATGCTAGGATGGGAATATTAACCAAGCAAGTCAGGCTGAATGGTCCTTCTCCTTGGACAAGACGGCTCGCCGATGGCCGTATTTCTGTTTGAAAGTTGTCCTGCGTCTCCCCTACATGGAAAGGGATGAATAAGTGACACAGTGTCAAGTGGCGAGCCACCGCGTTGGATGTGGACTCCGAGGCTCAAGTCAATGTTTTGGGTCCTTTTTTAAAATTTTCATTACGAGTCAAGTCGGTGATCTGCTCGGACAAGTGAGCGCAACGGATAAGTGAGGCAGTGACGCTGGATAACTGGGGCCTATTCTAGAGACTACTGGACTGGGCCCCAGAAGTATCATCTAATAACGGGGTGAGCACAGCATGACCAAAAATGGGGAAACATAGGTACGCACAGCAACCGTAAAGCTCAAATATTTAAGACACTCGTCCAGTGAGAATAAAAAAACTTACAAATGATCATTTGACATGGTCATAGGGAGAGTTTGCCTTTGCCAAGCGTAATGCACCTTTCGAGGGGAATTTTATTATCTCGAATTCAGTATTCTTTGTATTTCGTGTTTTTAGTCTGGCCAACGCCATCTTGAGTTTGGGGCGTTCATATTTGGCAGGTGGGGCACTGTTTGCGAGTCAGGTGAGCAAAGGTTTTGGATACGTGTACATCCCTGGGTGCATCGGGTCTCGGTCAAAATGTTGAGATAACTGGCCTCTCACCTTCCACCAAAACTTTGAAGGACACGTAATGGTTCTGGGATATCTCCCCCAGGACGCACCAGATTTTCACCTTGGGCGTGAGCTTCTTCTTGGTGTCGACCCAGAAACCGACCTTGGGGTCGAAGGTCACGGTCCGCTGAGAGACAAAATCTCTGACCGGGGTGAAGGTCTCCGTGTAGAAGGCATAGAGCCGTACTGGATCGCCGGGGCGGGGATTGCTGACCCTACAAGGCACGGTGAACGGCGACGTGTGGTTTTCTAAGTAGATGACGTCAACGTCGGATGGTAGAAAGAAATCCTCCAGATCTGGAAAGATTGAGAGGTTGGCAACAGAAACCAAAACTGAAGTAGGTGGTATAAAGGCAAACCAACTTTCAATACAGACTCCATAGGCAATGTGGTGGCAGTAGGGATTGACGCTAGATATGGGGGAAGTTGCGGGGGGTCTACGCAAGTGGATATGAACACTGAGAGGAATTTTGCTTTCCAGAACAGACTGGTGCACCTCACACGTTTTGACAAATTTCGTATTAACCATATGCTGCCGGGAGCCCGGTTTGGGGCACAGAGGCTTAATACACGAAAAAAACCGGGGAGCCCGAAACCTGACAAAAGAGCTGGGCTTTGTAACAAAAGACTGTACTCGGAACAAAAGACTGAGCTGCTGGGAATTGCCAACATTTTTTCAGTTGTCAATAGCGGAGGAATTCTGTCATTGTTTTGAGAGATTATACCACTGTTTGTGGCATTCAGCCTGAGCAGATTAACACCTGGGACAAAAGCGTTCCTGCGCTCCAGTGATGAGCGATACAATACCGCTGTACTTTAATCTGGCCCCTTTTGAAAAGGCGGCAGTAGCGCACTGTGCTGGTTTCGGAAACAAAAGAAAATTGTGTAACACCGCACAATCTGAGCTCTTTTTACAAGGCGGCAGGCCTGGCTGAAATATTTGGGCGTCAATAGATGTTGCCTGTCAGATCAGAGTACCCCCCACAGAGTCATCTGTGTGGGTATAACCATCTCGTAAACGAAGTTATGAATTTTTAAGGAGTTTTAAAAACAGAAAACAATAAAAAAAACCCGGTGCAGCAGAACCAACATGGATAAATGGCCCGGCAGGAAGTGGTTAATTAATTTAATGTTAATTCATACAGAGACATCAAGTGATGCTAGCAGAGGACAGTCAAAACATTTCCCAAAAGGAATACTGAATGCAAAGGTGTAAGGGGAGGCGTGGGAAGGGTTCGTGCTTTGCTCCAAAATGACATTTTGCGACCCTTGTCCAAATTTCCCGGAGGGTTGTGACGGGTGCTGTGATCCTGCAATCAATTAAAAAATGCACAACGCTCGTACCTGTGGAGTTGACGAAAACGTACACACTGGACTTCAACTCGGGGCGATCCAGCTCGGCGTATCGCTGGTATTTGCAGGCAAACTCGCCCGTGTCCCTGCTCAGTGCGCCACTCAGACGTAGGGTACTTTTGTACAGGGCTGGCTGGGAGGGCAAGTAGGCCTGTGTATGGTTTATCTGGAGTCGGTCACCCAGGCCGCTCGGGGTGAACCAGCGTATGGGCTGGAGACCGCTGCATGTCAGCTCCAAGTCGCTGTCTTGAGAGATGACCTTCTCAGAGCTCTCCACCGACAATTTGGGTTGCACTGTTGACAATGTTTTACGTAAATAAAAAAGTTACAAAGACACTCCGACTTTAGAGGTGAACATTTGGTGTGAAGCTACGATTGTCTTTACGTCAAAACTAACTTAACCTTCTGTGAATGTACTTGATGACAATATCGATTGCTCACCGACATCATTGACTCTGAAATTTTGCCATTCGGTCCTGTTTCCAAGGATGGCACGACACGAGACATTGCCGCCATAATCAGGCAACTCCGGCTGGATGACGAAACCCCGTCTGGGGTCGTAGGCTGCGGCCTGGGCAGGCGTGGTACCGTCCCCGGTGATGAACTTCTCCTGGGGATGGAGAGTGATGGTGGCATCAGGTGTGGCCAGCCTACAGGGGATGAGGGAGGTTTCGTCCCAGAAGTGAACTAGGTTCGTTTGGTCCACGTCTAAAAACAACGGCCCTGTTTCAGTCATATAAAAACAAACCAAAAAAAACACACAAGAATGGATAAAAAGGCTAAATTATTAAACTATAGCACCAAATATGACGATACTCCCATATTGAGTTGAGCGGAGCAGATGCAAGATATCGGCAACTAGTTTAATACAAAATGTGGAAAAAAACCAACATAATGATACATGCAATGCCGTGTTTTTGGCCTGTAAAAGTTATAGTAACGACTTCTTATTTCTTGAGGAAGTTTGTTGAGAAAGAAAACTGGTTATAGGCTTCGCACTGTGCTTCTTTTAGTATCTGTTAGTTTTTTGCCATATCAAAAATTTAGAGAAATTTAGATTTTTATATCTAAAGAATTTCTGCATTTAAGGTCTCGAGCGAATAGAGTGCAAGTCTCGTTTCTGCTTGCTATGAAGCAAAGCCCTAATTCTCACAACATCAGGAAAATGGCAAAGTTCACTGGGAAATGCATTGGACTCAAAGATCTTTTTTCGTAAGATTGAGGAAGGCACTAGCCAGCCACTTTTCCTATGCATGGGACGCCATGCGTTGTGAAAGTTCAAAACGTAAAGAATGACTCACTGCATCGTGAAGAATTTTGGAAGATTTAGGGAGCTTCCTAGAGACAACTGAAGAAGAACTGGATATCTGGAAGTGGATGGGAAAAGATGACTCACCGTCGGGTTGGACGATGTAAATGTAAACTGGTACCGATGTCCATTTCTCCTCGTCGTCGCCGTCTGAGCTGCTGGTGCAGAGATACTCGCCGGTGTCCAAGGGGGATGCTCGCTGGATTTGCAGGACACTCCTTCGGAGGCTGGGCGAGAGATTGTCGTAATGGGAGACCTTGGCATACTGCTCATCGTGCCGGGGCCAGCGCCACCCCAGCGTGCCCACCCCAATGCAGGTAAGCTCTAAAGTCTGTCCTTCATTGAGAGTGAGTTCCTGGGACTCTGTTTGAATATGTGGAGTTCCTGCATCATGTAAAAAAAAATTATAAAATTATATTTAAAAACTCCCCTAGCCAAGAAACTCATTGGTGAGGTCAAATGTACAAGGTCAAGTTCCCACAAAACGCATAGGCCTATGATAAGAGTATGACCAGATCAGCAAATGCTTTCCTCAGTGAGGGAGCCACACTGTGAGACATAAACAGGCAGCCACACCTTGAGAAAAATAATTACTGGCATTAAAAAAGGAGAACAAACAAACCACAGTGGGGCCAGAAGTAGCCTACAGAACTATCGGAAGCAGTCCAGTACCTAACGTGAGGGCCAGCTAGTCTGCATCATTTGAACTCTTCAAATCGTCCTTTGTAACATTTTGACATGGTCGGATGATTAGTATGACCACATCAACATGTTAAAAAAGGTGATTTGTTGAGTCCAAGTTCCTCAGACTAAGACAGGCTAGCAATAGTTAAACATCAATCCTTTTCAATTTAAGAACTGACGACAAACATGACAAACTGTGGGTTCAAGCAGACATACACTTTCTTGTGTATGACAAATGTGTTGCAACTGTATCTTGACCTGAGCGCAGCCATCTTTAAGAATGAATTTGAATAGCACCCTCAAGAGGCAAACGCAACATTGAAAAAGTGAAACATTGAGCATGTTGAGGGCGCTTGTCCAAGGGGGTTATTTATGACACAACTGTCTGAAGATACATTACGTTCTTTTCCATGGGAAACAGAATCTTGAGAGGAGACTAATTTTCATACCTCACGGAAGCTTCCCCTCTTGAAAAAAGTAACATTAGTTCCCTTAATAAACCTTTATTCAAGCCGGGTTACCCCAGCGTGTTGTGTTAATAAAATTTCGCCTGGAGAGGGCGGGGCTAAAGTTGGATCCGCACAAGAAACCCCGCCATCGCGCATGATCAACCTCATAGCCAGGTACAAGTCAAAGTGTCACACTCTTCTCAAGGGATTTTCACCTTGTATCCACGTAACCAGTCATTCCAGGAGTCGTTTTTTTTTTGGAGTGGCGGGATATTCTGCAATTATGCTCCCAAGCATGTCGAGAGGGCACATTTAACTTTAAGTGCTTCCACTTAATGCAAAAAAATTCAGTATTCGGGCTGACAAGTGCTGTAGCCAGGTCCTACAAAAAGAACAAAATTAAATAAATAAAGAATAGTACGTAGCACTTACTGTCAACGATAAGTTCGGCTGTTCCGCGCTTTCCTTCGACAACACACGTGTATTTTCCAGCATCTTGACTGGTCACAACATAAATTTCCAGCGATGCCTGGTTGACGATTGTTGCCCGATCGTACCACTTGCCAAATATCAAATATGATCGCGTCATGTTCAAGAGAACCTCTGTGGATCCGTTGGCAAATGTCCGCGTCCAGTAGACGCCGTGGCTCATTTCAAACATGTCGCCTTCTTTGTCGTCTTTGTAGGAACATGGAATAGTCGTCGACTTCCCCGCCGTAGCGTTGACGGATTCTGGGACGTTTACAGAAAGTCCTGACAAAAGACAAAAATTGAAACAGATTTTCCATTTTCATATATTAAAGAAATGATTGAGATTCGGAATGAAGTCTTAAAGAAAACAACGTGACAAGAACTGCATTGACACCTTTTAGAATTCCTCCTTGTCACGCTGTAAGTGTAAGTATTGATCGACGGCGGAGTGCGGAGGCGAATCAAAGACAGGTACCTATGCTTGCTAAGCCTCTGTTGATCACAGTGTGGTAATTTTTTTTAATGATTATCATCGATAAATTATTTTACGGCAATTTATTTCAAATAAGTGGTTATTGTGTTAAATTTTAGATAAATGAACAAATTATGTGAACTTATTTTCGATAACGAAGAAGAAAAAGCAAAATATGCTATCAACTTCTATTTGATTTTTACACTGAGCGAGCATCGTTTCCTCACATTACACCGATTCTCTGCCCGATTCATTACCTGCTACCCGTCCCTACGTTCAGAGGACGTCTGTAGGACGTCTGGAGACTACGTACTGGACAGGAACTAGTCTATTGTTCCCCAGGGAAACCTCCTTTGCGCATAACCCATGGATCAAAAGAGCTGACCCTCAAGATGGCGGCCATGCAAACCCTCTATTGTGGGTTGTGGTCGCAGCTACGACCGCCCTAGCGCAAGCAAGTGACTTCCATAATTCACAAGGCATTACATGGACTTGGTTGCGGCTTGAAAAGACACGCGACTCGCAAGGGAAGTAGTTGCAGCAAGTCCCATAGGGTGGCGTGTAATTTCAAGGCCACGGCCGAGTAATGTCGGGCGCAGCCTGAGTAGCTATTTTTTCCCGAATTCGTAAACGTGAAACCTGAAGCCGATTAAGTCAGAAAAGGCTGAGGTTGGGACCCCTCCCTCCAAAAAAAAAATATCCGGGGAAAACAAAAACGTCAGTAGACAGGCGCGTGACCCGGATCGGAACCCCCCCCCAGCTAACCGTGGGCGCACCTGCGCTAATTTCTGAGGACTATGGTTAGCGCAGTACCATGACCCACTTATTAGGTTTGCAGGTAAACGTACATGTCCATGAACGTGTGCAGTACTTGTTATTTCCACACCGTGTCATATCTTTGGTATATTTTTTCCTCCTGAGTATTGATACAATTCTGCCCACGTTTCCTCCGTGGACTGCCATTAATCAATGTGGGTGAATTTGAAGCTTCAAGAGCCGTATTCTTCCACAAGTAGCATGCATTAAAAAAAAACCGGCACGTCTTATCAAGAGTTGTTATTGTCAAATAAAAGTAAAAAAACAGGCCTATTCGCTATTATGGGCTGAATACCACTTCGTATCCAACATGTTACGAAAGTATTCAAAATACGTTTGCATTTTCCTGAGACCAATGTAAATGATTGAAATGCACCCTACTTTCTGTTCCGAAAGTAAAAAGGCTGTTTAGGCACAGACGACACGGAGCACTTTCAAAAAGACCCAAATTCTATCACAAATACAATGCTTCTAATTTTTTCGATACTGCGGACAACGAATGACACATTTTGAGCTTTTCTGACGATATGGTGAAAAAAAACCTTCCCCCAGGCGAGTTGGTAAGACGCCCTCGCAAGGCCAACCACTTTCTGACAGGCGCAAACTGCGGAAAGATATCGAGTACTCTGGGGACGCTACGTGCGCACGCGAGTTCCTCGAAATTAGACACGAATCGAGTCTGGATAGCACCGACTCGTCATTTCGGCCTTCGGCTATCGTTCATTCACACTGAAAAAAGAGATTCCTCAATAAATCTGTGTGACCTAACTGAAGGGGTGAGTGGCCTCCCTCGAGGTAATTAATTGCCCGCCAGTGCAATGGGATTCAGAGAGCGAGACCGCGGCACGAAGTCAGTGAAAATGAAAATATGGATGTTACGTGGGTGAACATTAGTGTTAAGGTTCCTGTTGATTTTGGGAAAGAACGGTCCTGGCGACTCAACTCATTTGGTTCAGGGGGTCACTGTGTCATCTGCTGCCGAGAGGGCGCCTGTCAACACGGCGTAAAAGTTTTAACAGGACAGAGTACGGTACTCGATATATACATATGAGAAGCATCCTCCGAAATTATTTACCATTTATTGAAACGGTGCAGTTTGGGTGTAAACGAAAACCAGCAAGGATCAGGCATCATTGCAAAGAACACGCACCAATAAGGAGAACGCTGTTTCCGCGGAGCGCCCCAATTATTCAAAGTGTGATTTATGGGGCTTTATGCTAGCGGGAGAAAATCGCTCCGCCGCGCATCGCTGAAAGAACTAGGGTATCAAATGACGTGAAGTGAAACGCACCATCTTCGTCGGATGGTTATGACAGTCCGGCCTCAAGACGGGTGAGAGGTCTAATCGCGCCGCGTGCATATCTGCGAGGCGATAATGTCTTCATTTCTCGGGCCGGGCCAAATCCGGTCCCGGTTGCGTTCATATTAACTCACGTAGGCTAATCACAACGAGATCACTGCCCGTCTCACTTTTCAAAGCCATCTTGAGAATCGGTCTCAGGAATATAATAATACCCAACCATAATCGATTTGCAGGCGAGGTATTTCGGCAAGGCGCCCAGAAGCCAATTAATGCATATCTTGGGTGTGATTTTAAAACTGATGACCTTTTTACCTCTGTTTTCCCTTCATGCCTCACTGATAATGCCTTCCTCCGCACTAATACTTTCTATTGGAATTTTGGGGTTTGAGAAATGCAATAATTATTTTATCACATCCGTTCCCTTACAAATGTACATTTGTGTTTTAAGTTTATTTCAAATTTTGTTTGCTATTTTTTAATGTAATATTTGCACCTTTTTGGTTTCATGCTGATGTAAATTTCCATGTTCATGGGAAAACCTGTAATATCACCACAGGGAGAAATCCTCGACGTCAGATTGAATTGTGCTCCGAATCCCGCTAGAAGATTTAATATTTTGCTGTCCTAAATTTCCTTTTCTGTTGTGACGTATTGTTGGATCGTGTTGGGCAATAAGCCAAAGAGCAGACCGTTCTGCAAAAGTTTTCATTGCGAAGATTTGGAGTTCACAATTTGAACAGAAAAAACAACCACCACCACCGAACTTCGTCTTCCCTGAGTGACATCATGGCAACGGCGCCCTCAGTTGTCCAGAAAAGCTTGACCAATTAAAAAAGGCCCTTTTAAAATACACGTACACCGAGACCCCCAAAAGTTGTCAAACGTCTATTTAAGAAAAGTCATCGCACAGACCCCATAATTGACCAGTTTGCGAACAATGGGCAATTTCCTTCGAGGCCATCTATTTAAAAGTCACGTTCACATAATTACACCGGATTTATTTTTGAAAATGGTCTCTTTATTACAGTAAGCCAACATCCGATGGAAATTTCCCGGTGCCTAGGGGAAACCAATTTTGCCCTAATTTAGTTAACAGCAGAAAGGTATAGGGCTGCAGAGAAATTGCTCCTTCCTTTTTCAACTTATACCACGGTTTTCCTTTTTACTATATATCTAGTTTGTCCATGGGCAGTGAATTATTTCGCCTGTGTTTCGCAATGAGTCCCTGGTGACGCCGTGGAGAGCACTTGGAATAATACAGACAAGCACTTTAGCATCGATTTTTTTTGGGTGCGTTTCTGGGCCTCGGGCCAAAAGTGAAGGATTACATTGCTACGTTTTGATTGACCTCTGAAGCGGACATCGAATTATGCGGTCGACCGCAAACGTCTTGGGCGCTCGAGACTTCTTGGTCTGGCGGTCGCGCCGCCACGCGCGGCTGAGTGAGAGTTCAGCCGGAAACATTCAAAGCCGGACGGATATAAATGTTTCAGACATCAATATTTGGATGACGACATTACCCACATGAAACAGGCCAGTCGAGGAATACAAACACGCCACACAAAGCTGGCAGTCGAAAGAGATTTCCTAGAACTTTTTCCCCCACCGAAAATTTGCGCAAGCAGGGACAACTTTCTGGAAAAATCATTTTGAATTTCTACTTCGACAAGTGTATTTTGGTTCCCTGCATATTATACACCAGCTACATCGGTGGACTGGTGCTGCGTAGCAGGCATGGGGTTTAAACTGCGAGGCGCGCACATTCATCTAGCACACCCATTAGACTGCGATGGAACTCTGGTCACGTCCAAACTGGGGGTTTTTTGTGCATGGCTACGACTTCGGTTCTATATGCTGCCATATTGTGCTTTGCTGAGCCCCTGTCATAGCCCACGAAGCACGGCTTGGGTGGGCTGCCAAGACAAGGCGAGAGACATCCGGTCAGTGTGTTTCTGCGCGTTCTTTTCATCCCTTCCCCGGGATGGCCTCCGTTCAAGGAATAATCACTCACATTTGCATCGTTGCCCTAGTAACACAGTCCAAGGCATCCATCCTAATATAGCAAATAAAATTAATTCAAGCAAGGCATACGCAATCCTTGGTGCCTTTGAAAGAGGTTTCATTACTGCACTCCCATATATACCCCCCCAAAAAAACAAAAAAACAAACAAACACCCCAACAAACAAAACAAAACAAAACAAAAAACATTATAGAGAACCGCGGTTGTGACCAACAACCACAGAGCTGCTTCAGTTTTGGAAGTCTTTCAACACGTCATTTTGTGTATGTTTGTGGGCTACTTTTATGCTGGATGAATCCCACAAAAAGCACCTTGGAAAAGAACATTCCGTCTTTTTGTCTTTTTTTCTATCAAGACAGACTTCAAAACAAGGAAACATTGTGATATTGAACCGTATGCTATATATGCGAAGGATACAAACCAGGGATGGATCTAGCTTTCAGGGACGGTTCTAGTTTTCAGGAAACGGGGGGGGGGAGCATTTTGGTATGCTCTGCAAAGGGGATCCAACGGAAATCGATGTAATTGTTTCACTGGAGTGCACGTAGGCCTACTGAGCAATCCCCGTCCAGGATTTTCTTTTTGTTAAGCCTACTCATTTTCCATCATTTCACCGGTAGTTCCTTTTACTCCGCGGCTGAACAGGGGGTGGCCAACCCCCTAGATCTGC